GGGGGCACTGTCTTTAACACTTTTGACTGTAATTGCGATTCATGTATTTTTGTGGGTGGTTGGCGGGTGCTCTGGTGTGGTTTGCTTTTTCTTTCCTATCAAACATCTGTCGTCCTTATCTCTGCTCTTTCTCTTTTGTGTTTGTTACTCTCTTGTAACACCTCTAATCTTCGGCACTTCTATGGCCTTATTGTGTTGCAAGTGCCGTAAAACACTTACTAAAAAAAAATGTATTTGTAGAGGCTTTATATCCCATCCACACTGTGTATTAGATCATTTAGAAGTTGATCTTTGACTCCGCCTTTCAAGGTCAACCTGGACTGAGAGGGATACGACATCCCAGCAGAAAGATGGAGATACTTGATCACAACTCTCCCCACTCGGGAATCCCACTCGTATCTCACGAAGTTCTGTCCTTGTCGTTTTATGCATGAATAATTCTGATATTATACAAACTGAGTCCAAAAATGTGAAATTATGCGATTCTGTTAATTTTAACAAAGAATGATAAAGGAAAATAATCTGAAATTATGCAAAAAATGATCAAATTTGGCTAAATTATGCGGGGTGCATAAAACCACGTGGACTGGAAATCTGATCTCTGCTATCAGGCCACCCCCTCCTCCTTCAATCACAAGTATCTCAACTTCTATTCAAGATAGATGGTTAATCTTTTTCTTCACCAAAAGCAAGACAAATATGAACAAGTTTTAAGAGGATACCAATAACTCAATATAATACTAAAAAAAATTACGAGCACCTGGTTCCATCTTGTCGTGGCACAATTAGTTGATTCTGGCTGTTGGGTTTTTTTTGCCTCAATCCTATTAAAATGACACCATCTGATAAGTGTAACATTATACATATGAAGTGTTACCTGTTGACAACACTAGGTTGTGGTAAGGTTAGTTTTGGTAGATGGAAGACTTGTACAGTGTTACTTTTTCTAGTAACGGTTATTAATTTTCTTCAAGAAGAAAGTTTGAAATTTTTCATGTGAGGCATACATTCAGGATAGTTATCAGAACGGTGTTGAGAACATCACAATGATGTCATATACACTGCCAGTGGTGATGATAAAAACAGTTGCATGTGTGATGTTAATGACAATGACAATGATGATGGTGATGATGATGACGATGGTGATAGTGATGATGATGACGATGATGATGATGATAATGATGATAATGATGACGTTGACAATGATGATGATGTTGATTATGAAACAATGCTTTTGGGTTTTCTAATCTGCTCCATATTCTCC